TTTAGAACCTGAATTTTTAATTTCGAGGATAATAATGTTAACATGATAACTTAACATAATATTGAGAAAAATAAATCAATCACACCATATATTGGTTCTGACACATAACATATAACATAATGAAAATTAGGTGTTCATTTATGAAGTTAAAAAGCATGCAATGGGTCTTTTCATTTAAAGAATGTCATTGCTCATTATTTGTTCATTTACATAAACTTTCATAATTACAACGGTACTTGAACATTAGTTACTTCTAATATTAAGAGTGGGTAATTCATATGATAATTAAATTTTTTAAAATAATATAATAGTTGTAATTTCAATATATAGTAAATTGTTGAATAAATAAATTTGAAAAAATGTAGAAGTTAAGTATGAATAAAAATTATAAAATAAAAGGATATGTATATTTTAAAGAAGAGATGAATAATAAAATTCAAACCAACTGTAATAAAAAGTGTTAAGATAATAAAATGATTTGAGAATTTTTTATACCCCAACTATACACATTTGCACATTTATTACATGATGTCCCAACTAAATCAATTTAGTTACCCAACTTTTAGTTTATTAATAAATTTTTGTCCACGTCGTTATATTTCATAAAAATAACGGTTTTGCTATGAAGTCGACATTGCTCCATAGTTGAGTTATATACAATAAGTAAATCAACTATATTCTCTGATTACTTAAGTAACACTAATATAATTTTATTAATATGGTATTGTTTACTTGCTTTACAAAGAAGGTTGACTCCACTATGGAGCCAACGGTGGACTTAAAGCAAAACCGTATTTCGAATAGTTCCGTGCATTTGCACGGGCCACGATACTAGTTTTGCATAAATACACGCGACGCCACCCTATGCCCCTAGTTGACGCTTAACATTTAATGCGCCATCACCTTTTACTTGTATAAATACCGACCCTCAGCTCCATCATCAAATCCCATCACTAATATATCACTACGCCTTCATAGCGTTCTTATAATCTCTTTCGAGATTAAACATAGATGCATTCACCATACTTGGTTGTTTAATCATTGTACAAGTTTCTTGAAAAAATTCCGGAGAAACATTCTCCTTGCCGAACCCAACGATCGATCGTCAATATCAGTGTCTCGCTCTTTTTACTTATGTTTACATTATCTCGGTTCGGTTATCCTTTCCATTAAAATATAGCATAAATATTTCGTAAACCCTCAATTATACCATCTTAGAACATATTCTCCGTAACCGTTGGCAGTCCACCGTCACCAAAGGTAACACTCTTGTATAAAGGGTAGATGTATGATCTTCCCAACTCTACTCACCCTTATATACTTACAAGGTATACATATTGCTCATCATCTTCATACACGTTCTGACTTGATCGTCGGATTCTCTGCGTTGGGACCAATCCCAACACTGTTTTGTAGGTCTATCGAACCGATCGAGTGTAGAACCAAGATCGTAGGAGTCGGTCTAGTTCATTTGACACCAGGGAGTAAGTCATTTAACCCCTTATAAATAATAGATATAACTTTGATTTATGTACCTAAACTCTCAAGTCTCTTAATTACAGTACTTTTGAGAATAAGATAATAAGATTTCTGACGTGAACGTTGGAGTGTTTACGCTGGAGTCTGCACTGTTTTGCAGGTTAATCCAGTTCGTAGTGCGAGGCGACTGAGACGAGGAAGTTCAACCCAAAATTTTGGTGGATGATATTTCAGGCACATCAAAGTTGAATCCAAAAATTTTAGCAAATTTTCTTGAGAACGGAACAAAATTTTTGCAGATGCTAAGAAAATAAATATCAATGAAAAAAAAATGTCCACATTGTAGAAACTAAGTCTATACACACTTCCCACCCTTACAGCTCAACAAACAACATACAAAACTTAATTCAAAACCACTGAACCAAAAGCCTCCAAACTCAAGAAACCTTTTCCTTAGCAGCACACAAAACAAAAGCACAACCAACTAAAACTCTCCGAAACTCAAGTTGATCTCAACCCCAAACACTTATTAGCATCCCCAATCACATGATCAATCAACCTTCTCCTCCAACTCTCCTTAAGCTTCACATCCTCTTTCCTCAACAGAGACCTCTCCAGATTCGCAATATCCGGACTCTCGTTGACCATCACAGTTGACTCAACCACTCGGTCAACCATCTTGAGGACCTCGCTCATCGTAGGCCGGTTCCTCGGGTGCTTGAGCAGGCACCGATTGGCAATGGCC